CGTGCCCTTGATTTCCAATTCTAATTGTTATATACGACAGATGTTACCAATGAGCCTCTCGTTGTTGAAAGACAAGAAGCCATCAATGCATCTGAAAATTAATTAAGGACTTTTCGTGCCTTGTTACCTGTTTTGACCATTTCTTTTTCAATTTTGATAAATTCCGTCTTGTATGAAAACAAAACAACTCGGCCCACAGAGGAACACAGTTAATTCCTATAGATGTTGCCAACACGAAACGCGATCATTTTCTTGTTTTGGTATGTTTCTTCTTTGATTTAGGCTTATCTTCCCACCAAACACTCTTCAGTATTATTCACAATCATATATCTATATAGTTTTTAACCATTCTTGGAAAGAATACCATACCAAGATAATGTGCTTTAAATTAATTCAGTTTTTTTTGCTCATTGAGCTTATACATATCACCTTTCTTATGACTAATATACATTCATATTTTCAATTTATATATAACTTTTAGCGATGGTGTTATTTCAGGGGTTTCACTAAAAAAATATTGCGCTGAATGCAGTTTTTATGTGACGTTAATATAACGTCTGTTGCGTCATAATGAGTATGTTTATAGCATTGAGTAACTGCGATGTTATGATCATTAGGGTCTCCATGCCTTTTGGATAAATATGTAATCGATTATACGATTAAAGTGTATTTGGATGATATATATGCATTCACAAACGTATTGCATTATGTCATTTAAACATGTTGAAATTCTCCAATTTTACAAAAAAACTTAATCATAAGATATACTCAACAAAAAAGAAAGTTTAGCATGTTTCCTTGGCGAATACCGGTAAATGAGATGAAGCAAAATGACGTTTGTGCAATATTAGAAAATAGTAATGTTTTACATTACAAAATGCAAGGGGGTTACCAGAATCATTCAAGCGTGAAAGTCTGTATCAGCGAAACAGCTGCACGAGGTTTTCTGCGACTAACTTGTATCTTCGCTAGAATTTCATAAGCGTTCAAAGTGACAACTATTCCTTAGATCCTTAGAACTTAGAAATCACCGAATCTTGCTATCTATTAACTTTATCATTATGCCCCAGCTGTTACAAGTACAGAGAGAAAGGGCTGTAGACATGATCCAGACTGGGGAGTCTCGCCGTCGAGTTTCACTTTCAGGAGCTGGCCCAAGCCTTGATCGCTGAATGGAACAACATCCCTCCTCGAATTATACGCCGGTTACGATTTCCATTCGACGACGCTGCAATGCCGTTTACTTTGCAAACGGTGGCCATACCCGTTATTAATGGTGTTACCTTTGAAATTGACCCCAGCGTCCTTTACAGTCGAATAAAATCAACTGAACGCAAGTTTTATAATGAATCATGACTGCAGTTTTATCAGAATTGATCAATTACTTTATTTATGAAGGGGTTAATTAATTAATCATAGAATAAAGCAGTGTTTCCTTTCTTTTTTGTTTGGTATATATATAAAAGACCTAATCGTAGACACATTAACAACAGAAAGAAAGCCCTGTGTTCCGTAAGGAAGAGTTTGCTTTTTCGGTAACTTTAGTGACAAATCAAATTAAATATTCTGCATAGAAAAGAACAGGAGTGGTCGACCATTTTCCAATGATAATAGCTCATGTGTGAAAGGTTTTGTCATTTACAAATCATTTATACAATGAACTTGTGATGAAAATATGATATTGGTATTGTCCATTAGAAAGCTATTGAAGATGGATATAAATATTAATTTGATATCTGAAGTCGTTTATGAGGGTACAAATTAATAAATTTGAAGAATAATATATGAACACTAGATAATTTCACAATTCATGAAATAACAACATTTCTGTAATATTCACAGTCAATGAAATAAGAACTTCTCTGTTATCTTTACAATTCATGAAATAACGACCTTTTTGTAATTTTAAATGTTTAAAGTTAAATGTTCACTCAAAAATGGCGTTATAAAAATTGAACAAAGAGGAAGGGGGTCACATTGCCCTGGGTATGTTCACAGATCACGTTGTTCATTTATCAACACAGATTCCGAGAACATGAGTTACATGGTTGTTTATATCCAGGCGTAATACGATGTTCATTAACCAATACGGAAAGTTTGTCTATTTTGTCATTCTAACTTGACTTTACATCGACTTTATCATAGTTAAATGAGAATGACGGTCTTTGCACAAAGACGCTGGAGTAAGTTCCAATACGATCTGGAACAGCTAAGACATATTATCAAGAAAGCCAAGATTAGTCTAGAGAAAACATGGACAGATAAGTGGCATTTTACTTTGTACGCTGTTACAGAATCCGTATTGGCTTGCTCTGGTTGTTTAAAATTTTCCTGCTCCCCAACGCTTCTCAATTACCAACTATATTGATTAGATAAGCATTAAGTTTGGTAAACAATGCCTACTTTTAATCAGTATCTTTCAATGAATAAGCAAAAAAATCACCGCCTTCCCCACAGGACAGTCAAATGGAACAAATGTTACAGACAGTCCCCCTCATTTAATCAGTATATTTCAATGAATAAAAAAATCATCGCCTTCCCCACTGGGCTGTTTCATGGAACAAATGTTACATACAGTTCCCCCTTTTTAAAATAAGTATCTTTCAATGAATATCATCTCAACCTTCCCAACAGGGACTTCACAAGAAGCAAACATTACAACAAGCCCCCTATGTCGTATAAAGTAGGCATTAGCCTACTAATTGTCAAATACACCACGGGGAAGTTAATTATGAATTGTTGTCCTAGTCTTTTGTCTTTGCATATGGGTGTATGTACTAGATTTAGTCAAACTTTTTACTGATATCCTAGATTGAAGTTATGCAATATGGATATCTCGAAGAACAAAAATCAAATCATACACATACAAATATAAAAGGATAATTAAACGGTCACAAGATTACACAGACCTGTGGATTATCATTGAGAAAAAGGTCACTTTCTCATCCGAAACTTGGCTATTACCTTACCTGTCACACTAGTACCTATTGTTCTTAACTTGTAATGTAATCGGGTACAATGCACCACTAAATCTTTGATTTTTAAGTTCATAAGTTCTTTATTCTGTGACGGTAACATCTTCATGCATAAACAAACACTGTATTAGTACAGCACATTAGAGTACAGTACTGTGTAGACTGAAACAAACACCGCACAATACAGGTTGTAAGAAAGGGAGATAAATCTGTATAACTACTTACCTAAAATATAAACTTTGCAATAATTACTTCTACGATTGTACAATAATATTATAGAAATGATATATCTAATAATTGCTGACATGACAAAAATATATAGAAAGATATACTATTCATGTGCAATATTACAAATATAGACACCACATCGATAAAACTATAATGTATTCACCTGTGTATGGCACAGATTCATATCGATTGTCCCGCTCATTGGTTCTCCATTTTACAACTCTAAGCTGTCGAATCATAAATCTTCTAAGGTCATGATAACATATAGATGATATAAATTACAGAAAATGTTAACCACTACATACCTTTGTATTTCAATTGAATTATAGCTTACAATCGAGATTTAGATTGATGATTATTTAATTTGAATGACAGATAAATAATGTTTACAGCTAATTCCATTTGAGATATTAACTTCAATAAACACATGATAATTATGGCTAACATGTACTTCATTGTTTGTTCACCGTCTTATCTAGAGCTTCATATATCATTGTAAGAAAAGGCGAGGCTTCTTTTACGTATCTATGCGTGACTTAATATGCTATAAAGCACGTTTGTACCGCATATGCTATAATGAACTTTGCATCGCAAAGTTGTCAACACCGCTAAATCAGATATATGTCGTATACATAACTTTTACATGTATGTCGTGGCGGAGGGACCTATTCTAATTATTTCTTACTTTCTCTAAGTCTTCACTTGAGTTAACGTGTACGTTGGATATATAGAAAGATCACAGTCAAAATGTGAGATTGGTGACATATCTTTACATGGATTGTGTTCTCTATTTTACATACTTTTCTACTATACCTTTATAAGAGTGTACCGAATGTGGTAACGGCAACCGTTATCCAACTTAACCTTCCATAATAAACTTAACTCAGAATATCACTGGATATAAGTAGTCGTTACCTTTTCAGTATCGTGCTATTCCCAGGTCTGACAATTAGTTATCAATAAAAACACCCAGGAGATTTGCACTGTGTACAGACATGGTATCGATAGTAATATTCAACTCGCAGGTTTTGATAGCTTTAGAGCTAATCCTATCAACGTACAATGGGTCTTACTTATTTTGTTTTCTCCCATTCACAGAACTGCACATTCTAAGTAGTCACTCTTTTTTCTACTAACTCTTCTGTCTTTTTCCTTACCCATTATGAGACGTTATCGGCTTTCATTATTCCAGTAAGAATTTGAATAATCATTAATAATTAAGATGAACAACTGGCACAGCCTTAAGGGACAATAATATCGGAAGATGGAAAATCGGACACCAAAATTAACTTACAGTCTGTGACCTGTTTGGTACTTTGGAACTTCAATGAAAGAGATGACTGTCAAGTTTTAGTAAATGAAAAGCATACAGTATATTGGGAAATAGTGCTACTGCTAAACAGTTTAGAACGTATGCACATAATTAAGACTTGACTTATTGAAATTAGTCACGATAATTATTTATATCTTTCTTGTGAAATATTAGTGATTAACAAATTAGCCGGGTAAAGACCAAACTAGGTTACTCAACAAAACAACTCTAATGCTCACGTGCTTAAAATAGCACCAAGATTGATCAGTGCTATTCAGAGACTACAGCAAACATGCTTCTAAACATGTTCTAAATGAACTTCTTTTATCTGGAGATATGGCATCGTGACGTCTCTGATCCAAAAACGACTGATAGCAATTGGAAAAAGGGTCATTGCTTGACAGCAGTTGTCATTACACCACACAATTCTGTTTTGCTTCACAAGTCGTTTTACGCTTGCTGGTGTCAAGATTCATAATTCAAAGATGAACAGTTTTCTGTGTTTATTGGCCTGCTTGCTCGCTGTTGTGAGTATAATCCTATCATTTTAATGTTGAATTCTACTTAGGTATTTACTTTTCTACTTTTAAATGTGATAATTACCTACATTCCAGCTTAGATTTGGACTTTAATTTCCTGATGGTCGTATGGGCATATCACGTTGAAACTGCAATATTTCTATTTCTTACACTGGCAAGAAGTAGATAAGAATAGAATTTCGGTTCATTGTCGAGGATATCATTGGCTACCGAAATTACATACTCAATTATGGTTACAATGTTCTTTTGTAAAAGGAGATGTGACATTGGTGTTATACTGTTTCATTGATAACTAATTTTTGTTTCTTCTTATTACGTATTCCATCGAAAAATATTTCACACGGTCCATACTTTACTTGAATATTATGCATATTTATACCGCTACTCCCCCTTCCCCCGGATGCTTCCATTTATTGTCAAGTAGAGAAAATATCATAATTATTTCATTTCTGTTCCTGTAACAATTTGTGTGTTGCGGCGTCTCGGTGGGTACAGTGTAGCACTGTACAGATTTAGTTAAATGTATCCGACAAATATCCAGTTTATATTGCATAAGCATTGGCAAAAGTTTGTAAATATAGAAATTGACATGCATGTCCTATCTGCTTTTCTAACAACGACGAAAATTCGAACACGTCAACAGAAATATAATCATAAATCAAATTCAATAAAACTAGGGTAAAATATGAATAATAACATTAAGACAAGGTTCCCCGGACAATAGAGTGTCTTCTGCTTGATCTGCAACACACGCAATGTAAATCTTACTCAGTCCAAGTAATTAATAACACGTTCTCAAATAAGGACATGATAAATATAGTTATAGTAAATATGAGCTTTGTTTACAAGAAATACGGCCTACTTGTAATGGTAAGTTATACCTATATTTACATATGTAAACAAAATGCTTTTATTGTCGTTTTTGTATGCATGTCTTAATTCAATTCCGACCATTTTGTATCGGATCAAATATATTCCAGAGAGTAAGAAAAGGAGATTTCAATACATTAAATGGTTTCAGAAAGATGAATTGGAATATGCAATATTTTCAGTTTACATGTTGTAAATGTTGATATTTTCGGTAGTGTTATTTTAGCGCTATTTGCGTTGAAAATATATTTATACATTGTATAATTATGGCCGCGCTCATTGTAATTTATATATTTCCTTAGATATCATTTATTACAAATATAGAATATTTTAGCAGTTATGCTATTTTATCGATATCTTATTGTTATGGCATTGCTACGACTTTACTTTAGCGGTCAGTTGGGTATTGCTTGCTCAGCAAGTAACAAAGTAACAAATTTAGGTTGTGTTCCCTTCAGGTAAGATAAAATTGATAACCAGGAAACCTTAAGGATAAGCATTGAACTACTTTCACTTGGCATTTATTGGCATATGAATACCATCAGGATAAGTGCAAATTTAGTGAAGCTCTTCAGCTGAAAACATAAGACACACGTTTTGAATAACATTTTTTACTATTTATAACAAGCAGATATTTCATATTTCTTACCTGGATTCTGAAAGTTATAAGAACAAACACCAATTTATCGGCTTTTTGTTTCAGGCATATGCTCCCACAACAACTAGGTCACCACATCAACATAATACCCATCAAACCACCAGACACCATGGGCATCATCTCACCCACGCGCCACCTATTGGAGAGGGATTTTCCTTCAGATATGACCCAAAATCGGTAGTGACGTTCGGCCTTTCATCAACAGATAAACCTTCCTAAAATATTGTTCTGTATAGCCTAACACAGCCTTTCTGTACATTTAGAGACTATAGTTAGAGTATGCTACTTGCCCGCATATCTATCAAAACGCAAATTAAGTTAAGTGTAAATCAAAATTATTGTTTTTAAAACTGAACAAACTGTTACTGTTAAACATGAAGATAATTGAACAGTTGAGTTACTAAATGAAGTGATTAAGTTAAAAAATGAACAATTAGATGAAGTGGCCAATCCGTCTTTATCTCTTTATCTATGTTGATGTTATTTTGTTAGTTAAGATTTCTTTACTTCAGAAATATTTTTACCATTTTATGATTTAGAATTTACTCTACGTAAGATATTCGTAATTCGTTACACGTACTGACGGAGCAGCCTGAAAGCTCATGGGTTAGCGAAATAGCTGACTCCAAATTCTATTTCGTGGCAAGAAAGTTTGTCAGATTTGACATTTATTGAAGGGTAAACGTCTATTTTGTAGCTAAGGCCAAATAGAGAACATATACCGGAAATATAAATATATAATGGTGATACCACTGAGCTCTTAGGTAGCAGTACAGTTTCTCGATGTGGCCATGGGTGATATTTTTGTTCATTAGATTTTCCCATTATAAAGGTTTAAATTATGATTTCAAAAATAAATCCTTGTTAAACTTGGTCTTGTCATGTTGATGTGGACAATTTGGGGTTTCACATTTGTTAAAAATGATATTTTTGCATTGTGTTGGAGATTGCTATTTGGGCAGTCTCCAATCTATGTCCACGCAACAAAACCTAGGTGTTCAGAAATAAATTTCTTCTATCAAGATTTAGTGCTAGGATGGAAATAGCAGTATTTTTTTACAATTCAGCGTTTTTCGAATGGGTAACTATGGCAATCAGAGGAAATTTTTGACTTACACAATTTTTATTTCTCTACTATTAATGTAATTGTTTATAAATGTATACACATGTAAGGATGCATTTTCAGAACGAAACTGCTATATCTGTATATCTTAAACATGACCAATAATTTCAAGTAAAATGCAAATGAAGTTTACAGTGTTGTCTTAGCAACAAAGCGGTTCTCAAATTACCATACGTGGTAGTCCAACCTTTTCTGTTAGTCACAATCTCCCTTAAATCCCGATGATTTTACACAAAATCTTAATTGCCTGGAACAAAAACGTTACATTATATTGACGCAACTCGCCATTCATGTAGGGATTGCTAGCTCTTTGTCTTACCAGTGGTCCAGGGAGCGTTCAGATGACCACGGAGAAAAACAACCAGACCTCTCTTACGGCCGCTTTTGTCTGTAATTTCTGTCAATGAAGGTTTTAAAACATTACAACCCACGGTAATTGCAGTCTGGGAACCAGTGTGAAACCTAAATATATGATTTGATTTGACACCTGGAAGATATACGTGGAAATATTGTTAGTCTATATGACTTGTCAATGGTCTGATCATAGAGGTGAAATTCAATTCAAAATTGGTATTTGGGACCTTTTCAAACTAGCCATCATTGGCGATCATGAAAGTGGGGTGGTCTGAATAGTGAAGTTTACGGTACAAAGACCTTAACTATATATTACTTTTGGAGACTTAAATGAAGTGGTCTTAATAGCGAGATGGTCTTAATTTTGAGGTGGTATTTAAGCGAGGTTTCATTCTACAAGATGAATTACAGGGTTTAAAGATTGTATAATTCATAATTGGTATTTTTTCAGCACCGTCTGGCCGTGGTAAATAACCATAAGTGCTGGATATACCATCCAAGTGATGCCGAGCAGAGCACAATCAAAGACATCCACACGCTAAGAGACCTTGAGGTTAATCTTATTTCCTATTTGTTTGGGTGTCAAGTATTAAAAGTGATATTTCAATTAGTCTGTCATACAGGATATATAGAATATGCTTCTTCCATACTAGCCCACCATCATCAGATGTTGGGAATTTCAAATCGCCCTTCTACCATGGTCCGTGGTCAGAAAACAAAACATACGTTAGGGATCACTTGCCCTTTTGTTTAGTTTAATTTCGAGGAAGAAAAGTAATTTGTTAGGAGGAAGAGACATGATAATTTTTTTTAAAAACCAATAAAGCTCCGACAATGTTTTATACATAGAACCTGGCATATTTGCAAGCCATAAGATCTTCCTCTGGCGGCTGATCGGATTTCTACAAACATGAATATAAAGCTAATGACTCTCAGATAATACAGTTTCAAATTGCTTGGCATTATGTTTCTTATTTAATATTTTTCATGTTTCTAGGTAAAGCTTATCCAACAAATTGACAACACTCCTACTGGCACGTCCTTGTCACATTCTGACCTTGGCCTCATGAGCCCACTTCTCGCGCACCTATGCCATAGTGACTGGCCGATTGTGATTCTGAACTAAATACAGAAGTCATATCATAACAAAAAAATAAAGCGTTACATGAAAATGACTGTGTTCCTTTATCCTTATCTTAAAACATATTGCCTTTGTTAACACTACTAATTAGTGAACTGTATTAAATATAATACAATATAAAATTACTTGATTTCAAAAAATTTCTTTATGCTTTTGTTATCCTCAACATTGTCAATTCTAATATGATCGATAGCAAAATAAGTTAAAAAAGATATCCAAGTTTTAAAAGGGAAGGATGAAAATGCACACGTTATGAAACTGTAACCATTTGACCGTCATATGCTAAGCATTCAGTATTCCTAGGCTTCCAAATGCCTAAAGGTTCCATATAAGTTAAATTCCCAGGGTTGGATCGATGAATCCTGGTCTAGCAGAATGTAATCCAACTCGATGCTGCTTGAAATAAATCAAAAGAAAACAATTCCTGTTTTAAACCCCTGAGTAGTCAGGTAACGTTTTGATACAGAGTGAAAATGAGAAATGTTGATCTTTTTCACTCGTTTTAACTATCAGATGACAGATTTGCAAGTTAAAAATTCATTTTGTCATTTGGAACTTTAGGAACTACAACTCTCATAGAAATAACCCTAAGCAATGTTGGGTAACTCATGCTTTACTATGATGTACTGATTCTGATCATTATGATGTTCTATGTACTATATTTACTTCCGTGTACTTCAAATTAAACTTATTTGAAGAATTGTACCTAAGTTGTGACACTATGTGAGTAAAGATGATTAAGAACACATCTAGACAGAGCAGCGAATTCAAATCGATAAAATAGCGTGAAAATTTGATAAATGGAATATTGTTTGTTTACTGACGAATAAAAGTGCTATTATATTTCATCTCGTTTGATTTACATTTTCATATTTTCACCAATATTAACAAAATCATAATCTAAAGTCAAATGTAATTAAACTAGGACAATATATGAACAAAAGGAAAAAATAAGGGAAAACCCCAAGAGACCTTTTGATGAGAAACCACAAATAAACAACGAAGAAAATATGGACATGTCCACTAAATTTTAATTCAAATGCATATTCGATAAAAACTATGGGAATTATGTAAAAAAGAAAATTTGTTTTTGAGACTACTGAAAAAGTAAATTGTGATTAAGATCAGGTATTCTGGAACGGTCAGCGTGATCTGATTCATCGACGACTCGCGATGTAAATCTTCGTCAATTCATCAAGTATTACAAACTTGTATGAAAGGGAAACTTCTTGATGTAGGAATTTGAATGAAATGTTCAGATGATAAACCTGATAATATGAACACCTTAAACAGTATTTGACATTTTATCGAAATGAACTCTCATATGGGGATTCACCATGCGTAATTCAGTTACATACGAATATGATTTTCTTTGAGAGAGAGAGAGAGAGAGAGAGAGAGAGAGAGAGAGAGAGAGAGAGAGGGGGGGGGGGGTAAAAACAAAATACATAACGAAAAAAATAAAGCGTTTTTCTGATAGGCCAACATGACAATTAATCAGTATTACAAGCTCTGGGTTTTTTTTATATATAATAGTACTTTTTCTTTTACATTTAATCTTCATCCATGTTATTGCTGTCTGTATACCAAATACCTCTTTTACTCTGAATATAGGGAGATATAAAAATACCACAGTAAATGTTTCCTCTTTCCCAGTTTCTATAACAACATAGCAGTGGGGTGTTAGATAAGAACTGAAGGTTGTATTGTTCTAACAGTCACGGTTAGAATCCCTCTCTTAGGCCCCTCGATGTCACATAAACACAGATAAAACATAAAAGGCAATGGAATCATATATGTACAACTAAACCTGTCATCAACAACAATATGTATTGTATGACCATTTGGATCTTAGTACAGTATTTGTTTTTGATATATTTATGATATTCGAACGATAAAAAGAAAACAAACAAAACAAAAAAGTCATGAGTTCAAGAGAGACCACCAAGGAAGGGTAGATAAATATAGTAGAATACATTATATATGCACCAGTAACCATACTTAAACTTATCTTTATCAAGAAGTGTTCGTTACAGAACATTTCGCATTTTAACTTATGTATATATATATTGGTTCATTATATTAATGTCATTGGCTTTTTTTTATTATTGACTATTGCTTTTACATTTTCGCCCGAAAACATAAAAAAATATCGAAGTCATTTAATCAAGCGGAAACTTTACTTATGTGATTGGAGGAACATTAATCTGGGGTATCTCTTAGTCAAAATCTGAGATTACTATTCAACATCTGTCAGTCATCTTTTGAAATTGAGATATGTAAATATACACGATTATTTAAAAAAATAGACACCTACGCATTTTTTTAAAATCAATGTTATGTTCCCCGGTAGAAAATTAATATAAACTTTTGTCGAAATGCATGATCAGCAAGGACAGACAGTATGCTTTCGGATCAGTCAAACATTTAAACATACCCAGGACTAAGGGATGCCTCAATATGTAACTATATCCGGAGCAATTATCACCATATGTTTTTTTCTGTCTTGAAGTCGAATTTATCTAGTGACAGAAAAAGTGGATACATAATAAATCAATATAAAGGTGAAATAACGTCAAAAATAGCATGTATTTATTAGGAATAAAACTTATTTTTTTCCTTTTCCTGAATTGTAGAAAACAAGTAACTTACATTTAAATTATCTGTCTCTAAAGCACCTTATTCCTGCGGTATCTGCAATGGAAACCAATATGATTACATATAAATAATGCATTTTAATTCGTCACTGATTCATTATTATTTCCCCATGTTTTGTGACGTTTTAATATTTTGCCTGGTTTCTGAGACATGAACAAATCTATAAAGTATAATATAAGTCATCGATGGCAGATATCATTGTTACACTTTCAAGAGGGGCAAAATTCCGAAATGGCCATCAGTTGAAAAACTGAAAACCCGTAAGTATAAGTATTCATGCAAGTTTTTTCTATGTATGTTAAAGTTGGTACTCTCTTTCTCTTCATATGTTGACATACAAAAAGTCGAATTATATTTTCCGCTATTAGCTCAAGTATCACTTTCTCAACTTTTTCGTTTGTTTTCTCCTCATTTATCAATTATTGTTTTTAAATTCTTATTTTTATTTTTGTAGGAGCTGGACGGATGGGAGATTATATCATATATCGATGATTTTTTTTCTGTTAACCGTCCGTCTGTCGTCAGTCGTCAAGTGTTCCTTGTCCGTCCGTAAGTCCGTCCGTCGTGAAGATGTCAAGGTAATTTCCTGGTAAGTTGCTGGAATGGAGCCCCACAACAAAAGCGAAAAAGACATCGCCTTAACCCATTTTCAAGGTCACAGAGGTCAAATTTGTAAAAGATATAAAAAAAAGCCCCTTAAAAAGACTTCTTCTGACCAGACAAAAGGCACAGAAGCATGTTTATGGCTCATAGGTGTCTAGTATGAATCCACACAACGTTGCGAAAAGAAATGAACTTGAACCGTATTTATGGTCAGAGGGTTCATATTTGTTGAAACCTTAAAACGGCATCTTCTGATAAACTAAATGGCGCATAAGGATTTTAGTTACATAGTATTTTGCTAATAAGTCTCTAATATGAATCAAGATAAAGTCTGCAAGGTAAAATGATATTGGACCATATTCAGAATCGAAAGGGTCGAGTCTGTTGACACCTTAAAAACAACCAAACAGCGCAGAAGCATGCTATTGGGCTGATAGGTTCTTAGAATGAAGCAGGACAAAGCTAACGAAAATAATTGACGTTGAAACATAATGAAGTTCAAAATGATCATCTTTGTTAAAACCTTACAAACGACTTCTTCTGATGAAATGAAATATCCAGACTCACGATATTTGTCTCATAGGTTCATGAGATAAACGCTGACATTGCTTTGAAAAGAAATGATCTTGACCCGAATTCAAGGTCGTAGGAGTCAATTTTGTTAAAACCTTTAAAAACCAATACCAGAAACGTTCATGAGATTTAGCTTAACTTAAAAATGTTGGTTAAAACAGCGGTGCGAAATGCTAGTGTATTTCAGCAGTGCATTGGATACCAGTTGAGCTATGCAGACACTTTGTTCTTTTCGTAATTTGTTTTCTTTTTTATTTCAACATCTATGTTCCAAAATATTCCAATTCAGTATAATATAATGTTTCTATGAATTGAAAAATCAAAGTCACCGCCATGACGTTTTATCCGTTTTCTCTTTTCTTACAATAACTCGCTAACGGCTTTATCTATTGAATTAATCTTTTGTGAATTAACAAAACAATCTTTGTGTCAAAGGTCATGTGCGAAATTTCGATAGGAGTCAAATTTCTAAAATGCTGTATTGGATAGGAAATTTCAAACAGGAAAAAAAAATATAAAAATTAATAAAATTAGGTAATTGGCTATCAAATTTGATTATATAAATAACCTTAGATTATCGTCAATAGCCATGTTGCACATGGCGATTAACCATTTTCAGTGTCAATTGATGAAAAGTGTCGAAATCTCCAAAATACTTCTCATCTTTGGGAAACTTTTTCTGGGGTTCTAAAAAGTTAAGAGTCTTTTATTTGATTAATAAGATGCTCAGGTAGTTGAAAAACAAGATGTTAGAATGAACCTGACATTTTATTTTTTATTGTCGTTGGAAATAAAGCTTGCAGAAATAAAGCTTGCGGTAAGTTTAAACTTATATTACTTCCATAATCGGGATTGTTATGAGTGTACCTTCTCGTGTATGTATGTTTTGTATTATAAGAGGTGTATTATACCTGGCTACAGGTACGTGCATTCGAGACTGTGTGTGCACGGGCAGTGCATACATGCGTGAGTAGTCGGCCAGGTAAGATGTGTTAAATGTAAACAGAAGTGTTGTTAGCTAAGTGATATGACAGTGTATATGTTTTAGGCCGGAATTATAGCAATTACTCTGATAATAGAACCAGTTCTCTGCACGGTTATTGTAAGGTTATTGTAAGGTTATTTGTCGAATGCACATGTAGTAGATACCG